ATAGATAATTTCTGATATTATGAAAGTAAAATTTAAAACATTTCCTAAGAAAATTTAAAATTTTATTTAAACTTGTATCAACCAAATTTCATAAATATGTTTCTTAAAATTCCTATAAAATAAAAATATATGAAAAAATAAAATGTTAGAATTAGAAAATTCGGGTCATTTTTTTGGTTTTTTGTCAAATAACTTAAAAACTTTATATGAAGTCACTCTTTTTTAAATAGATAGGATGAAACTAGATAAAATTTACTAAAACAGTTATATGCACTCCGATATAAAAGTTTTGAATAAAACAACTTTGAATTCGATATTTCATCATTATTTAGCAATAAATAGAAAATTCGTGACATTTTTTTGGTTTTTGTCAAATAACACACAAATTTTATATGGAACCTAATTTTATATGTTCAATTTAAATTTTGGGGTCTCTATCTTTATAATGCATTTTTTTTTAAGATAATTTGAAGTCTCATTTTTTTAAATGCATTTTGTTGGTCTTTATTTTGATTAGACATTTTTTAAAGTAATTTAGGAGGGTCTATTTCAATTTAAATCATATTTTAATTATATTAAATTTCAATTTAGAGGTCTATACCTTTATAATGCATTTTTTCTTAAGATAATTTGAAGTCTCATGTTTTTTAAATGTATTTTGTGAAGTCTTTATTTTGATTAGACATTTTTTTACGTTATTTTGGGATCTCCATTTCTAATTTAAATCATCAGCATTTTTTAATTATTATATTCAATTTAAATTTTGGGGTCTCTATCTTTATAACGCATTTTTTTAACAAAATTTTATATTAGACATAAATATTTATTTAATATATTTTCTAGAGAAATTAAACATAAATATATCAAAATTTTATTTAAAATTAACTGTAAGAGAAACTTTTGGAAATTTCATACAATTAATTTTTTTTTTAAATATTTAAAGACCATGTTTTTTCTACGATTTTAATAAAGTTTTATTATTTATATATTTTTTTTGAACCACAAAAGTTGATCCAAAACAAGTATTAAATTTAATTTAATTTCAATTTATAAAGTAATGAAAAACTAGAAAATATATTAAAAGTTATTATTTTTAAATTATATAACTGGATACAAAGAAATTCTCTATATTGTTTATAAAAATAATACGAGTATATTAAAAATAATAATTTTCAGTAAACTTTTATATACAAAATGTTTCTTATTTTTCATTTCCAAAATAAGAAAAGTATTGATTTCAGATAAAATTTCTTTTCCTTAAAAATTGACCCAATATAAAATATACCTAAAAGAATTTATTTAGTTATAATAAATAAAGTAAAAGTTTGTTATTTTAAAATTGCCCAAAACAAGTATAAAATAAATCTAAAAGACTTTGTTTATTTAAAAAATTGTAAACAATTGAGAAAGTTATTATATACCTTATATTTTATATTTTGTTTACATTCAATTCAAATTTTAGTCAAAAACAATTCCAGGTAGAAAATTTCTCAAAATGTGAAAATATAGAGAAATAAAATTAAAGGGTCACAAATCAAATAATAAATTTTGTAAAAATATCTTTATCTATTATTAAATAAAAATATTCTGGACATTTTTTTGGTTTTTGTCAAATAACTCATAAATTTTATATGGAACCACCCCTTTTTAGTTAGTTAGGGTGAAACTAGATAAAATTAACTGAATTTCTTAGGAAACACATTTATACACTTCGATATAAAAGTTTTGAATAAAACGATCTTGAATTCAATATTTTATTCTTTAGTAGCAATAAATAGAAAATTCGGGACATTTTTTTTGGTTTTTGTCAAATAACTCAAAAATTTCATATGGAACAACCCCTTTTCAGTTGGATAGGGTGAAACTAGATACAATTTACTAAATTTCCTAGAAAACACTTTTAAACACTCCTGTATAAAAGTTTTGAATAAAACAACTTTGAATTCGAAATTCATTCATTATTTATTCATTCATTATTTAGCAATAATTAGAAAATTCGGGTTATGTTTTTTTTGGTTTTTGACAAATGACTCAAAAACTTTATATAAAAGCACCCTTTTTTAGTTAGATGGGATGAAACTAGATAAAATTTACTATATTTCCATGAAAACAGTAATATAGAGTCTGATATAAATGAGTTTATTCATCAAAAATTAATAAAAATAACACCTGTTATTTAATAACATTATGAAAAATATAAAATATTTAGGTGTAATTTGTGTTTATATTAAAAAATATAATATATGTACACAACGTTATATAATTTGAGGTCTTAATAAATTAATAAATTAAATATATTTATTTATACATGTTTCTTAAATATTTATTCTAAAAACAACTTTGAATTTAATATTTCATTATTTAGCTATAAATAGAACATTCGGGACATTTTTTTGGTTTTTGTCAAATAACTCAAAAATTTCATATGGAACCACCTCTTTTCCGGGTAAAACTAGATAAAATTCACTACATTTCCATATATTTCATCATATTCACTTACATATGTTTCATAATTATTCCAAAAACGTTTGTTTTACGCGTATAATACTTTCAAACTTCAATTTCAAATTCAAAAAACCGCCAAGCGCCAACTTCACGTCACCATAGAGACTAGTTCCTATCCCCACCACAGAGTCGCCCATCTACACTTAACCTTAGCATTCAGTCTGTGCTCGAACGCGATAGAAATAACATTGTTGATGTTTCTCTATAAATAACTTTTAAAATAAGATAAATAACGCGATAAATACAAATACAACGTTCAAAACATTATTAAAACACAAACTAAACAACAAATTAAATCATTTATAATATAAATTATAACTTTAGTGCGTGTAAAACTAAGTTTTCAGTCCTTTCTCTACTTCTCGGTATTGTTTACGATTCTCGGAATTACGGGAATGGATGTACGTAATGTTTTTTTTTGGTGAAAACTAAATATATTTCGAAATGTGATCATTAAAAATTGTATAAAAGATAATTGAATTAATTATTTTGATGTTTTAAGTGCTTGGTTTTGGGTTTTGGTTAATTGCAAGTGTTTTGTTAAGTAATTTTGTGCCCGATACGGAGAAGTCTATAAAAAATTATTTCTTAGGAAATGTCGTAAATGGAATAAGATGGAGATGTTTGAGGAATTGAAATAAATTTGTAAAGGTAAGAAGGATTATAATAATAATATATGTGATAACAATATAAATTTAAATGTGTCTATTAATAATGTCAATAATAGAGAAAGTTCAGAAAAATATACAAATTTATATTGTATACATTTTTGCTTTCACCAAATTTTGAGGTTACTTGTCAAACTTAATTTTTGGGGCACTTTTAGTCCTTTTTGTTTAAAATATATTTAAAATAATTAAATTTAATTAATAATAATTTTTGAATGCACATTTTGAGTTCTTATTTTTATTATTTTTGGAGCCTCTATTTTCACAATGCATTTTTTCTGTCAATTTTTGGGGCTCCTATTATCATACAGCATTTTTCTATTATAATTATTTTTTGCAATATTCAAGACGCTTTTATTCTAAAATATTTTTGAGGGCTATTTTACATTTTTGGGGTTACTGTATATTACATTTTGTTCTGTCACATTTTTGAGGCCTCTATTTTTACAATGCATTTTTTCTTTCAAAATTTTTGGGGGGCTATTCTATTTTTTAGGCATTTTTTAAATGTATTTTCGATGTTTTTATTTTGAGTAGACATTTTTTTAAATAAATTAGGGGTCTCTATTTTTAATTATTTTTCTGACACATTTTTGGGGTAATTTTATTTATAATTCTATTTTTAACACAATTTGGGAGTCTCTATTTTTACAATGTTTTTTTTTCTAACACAATTTTGGCACCGATATTTTACAATATATTATTTATAAAATATTTTTGGGGTCTCTATTTTTACAATAATTTTTTTCTAAAATTTATTGGGGTCTCTTGGGGTTCTAGCATTTTTAACGCATTTTTGGTGTCATATTTTATTTTAATTTAATTAATTGAGCCTTACAATACATTTTTTAAAAATATTTTTGGGGCCTCTATTTTTACAATATTTTTTTTTTCTAAAATATTTTTGGGGTCTCTTGGGGTTCTAGCATTTTTAACGCATTTTTGGTGCCAATTTTTATTTTAATTCAATTAACCAAGCCTTACAATACATTTTTTATAAAATATATTTGGGGTCTTTATTTTTACAATATTTTTTTTTTTTCTAAAATATTTTTGGGGTCTCTTGGGGTTCTAGCCAATTTTTATTTTAAATCAATTATTCAAACCTTACAATTTATAATACATTTTTTATAAAATATTTTTGGGGTCTCTATTTTTACAATAATATTTTTTATAAAATATTTTTGGGGTCTCTTGGGGTTCTAGCCAATTTTTATTTTAAATCAATTATTCAAACCTTACAATTTATAATACATTTTTTATAAAATATTTTTGGGGTCTCTATTTTTACAATAATATTTTTTATAAAATATTTTTGAGGTCTCTTGGGGTTCTAGCATTTTTAACGCATTTTTGGTGCCTAAATTCAATTAACCAAGCCTTAATAATTTATTAATATTTTTTGTTTTGTTATCAAGAAAAAGTAGTTTCCAAAACAAGAAATATATTGATCTAAAAAAATTCTTTTAGAATTGACCCTATATAAAATTTAATATTTTAGAGGTTTAATATTTTTGAATCGACCCAAAACAAGTATAAAAATAAATCTAAAATTATTTATTTATTTACAAAATAGTGAACAATTGAAAAAGTTATTATATACCTTCTATTGTGTATTTTGTTTATTTTCAATTCAAATTTTAGTCAAAAAAATTTCTCAAAATGTGAAAATATAGATAAATGCAACAGAAAAATTAACTAATTTGTGATCCAAAAAGTCACAAATCAAATAATAAATTTTGTAAAAATATCTTTAATTATTATTAAACAAAAATTAAATAAAATTTTAAAAAATTCTTCTTATTTCATGATTCTGTTATCGATTGATAAATGCAATTAAAAGCGTCATTTTAATTAGTTTTAATTAAATTAATGAATCATGTCATACAAATAAAATGATGATTGTTAACATTATCAGTTTAGTAAGAAATTGTGATTAGATATTGAATTTTTTTCTGCTTATATTTGTTTAAAATATTATCATTTGGGTTTTGTTTGTTTTGATTCAAATGTATTTATAGAGTAGAAACTATTTAGTAATAATTATTTATAAAATAATAATTATTTCTGGCAATTTTAATTAAATTAGAAATCTGAAATTTGGCAAAATAGTTCTTAAAAATGTCTACTTTGACAACAAATTTTAAAATTGATTTTATATTTTTTTTTAAATATCCAAAATAATTTGGGAAAAATACACCTTTCTTGGTTCTTACAAACTTTTTTCATTTAATCGATTGGTATTTATTTTAATATCAATATTTATATTTATATTTTTACCTCAATTTACTATTTTCTTGGACAAAAGCCTCAAATAATATTTATAAATATATGATTATATTTTTGGCAAAAATATTTTACTAAAATTTAGGGGTCAACCCAGGTCAAAATCTTTTATTTTTCCAAAACCACAGTTTCAAAAATTCAATATAATAATATGTGAACCTTTAACAACAACTGTTTTAACTAACAGGTTTCTCAGGTAAATTCCTGGCAAGAAATCCTCATACCTGGCAAAGGTTTTTGACACCTTGCAGGATTTTTAAATTTATACCTAGGTAAAAATTTTAGGCCTGAAATAACTTTAGTTCAAAATTTGTGTGGAGTTGACATTTAGAAAATATTATTTTGAATTAAAATTTTAAAGTAAATAAAGTTGTTATTAAGATTTTGGTTTTAAGGAATGTGTTTGCGTAGTTGTGTGTAAAAAATTGAAAATAAATTCAGAAGGTTTGTAATTTAGTAATTTCTAAAACAAAAGTCTAATTACTAGAAAAATCTTTAATAATATAATGTATATAAAATCTTGTTTTTTATTATTGCTATTTATTTAAAGTTTCATACATGATTTCACAAATATTAACAAATTTAAATCGCAAATTGCTTGTTTAAACGCAACTTTCAAAAATTTGTTGGGGTCACCACTTTTATTTGTTTTAAATTCAATAAGTGTGAAAATTGTTTTCTTTAAATTTTTGTTGATGTTTCATAAAAAACATGATAGTTTCGTAGGTTTGTTAGTTAATAATAATAAATTTAAATTTTAATAGTTAATAATAAGAATAATAAATTTTAAGAATATTTTATTAGTGCAATAGTTAGGAGAAATCTTGCCAAAATAATTTTGCGGAAATTCGACTAAGAATTTTGGCTTTGTTCCAATCATGTTTTCTTCCAAAACATTCATTTTGTGTATTTGTAATCAATGCAGAAAATTGGAGTGTGCCAAATTGTATTTTTGATCAATAAATAAATAATTTATTTATGTGCCATTGTTGAATTCAGAAAATTACATACACAAAGTGCCTTTTGAATATTTTGATAAAATTATTTTTTTAAACAATATTTTTTAAGTTTTTTAGCATTATTTTGAACAACAAATAATTTTACATGTATTTTTGCTTAGGTATTATTTTTATTAAACCTAAAATATTATTACTAATATTTTAATAAAATTATGCACGTTATAATCATCTTATTTCGATTTTTATTCAATAAATAAAATGCTTTAAAAATTTAAATAATTAAATAATTCTCAGATTAGGATTTACTTACATTTTAAACAAAAGTTAATAATTTTAGTTCATTTATTTTGGTATTAATATTAAAACATTTTTAATGATTATAAGTGAACAAAATATATTATTCCTATTTAAAAAACAACTTCTCAGAATATTTTGTAAATAAATACCTTCTAAATATTTTTAAACAAATACTAATGTATTAAAAAATCATGAATTTCATTATTATATTTTTGATATTCATATTACTAGTTTCAAGAAGTTATAGAAAGGCTTAAATATTTTATTTTGATTCAATTATTATTATTAATGTTATTAGTTTTGTAAATTTATTTTGCCTAAAATCATATTTTTTTACTTCATAATAATTTTTTTTAATACTTATAACCAGTGACCAAAAATAATCTAAATGATAAAAAAATAATTAATTTTTATTATTCATTGTTTATAATCATATTTTTTTAATTAATTTAAAAAAAAAATCTGAATTTATTATGAAAATGTATAATTAAATTATAATTGTATAATATTGTTTTGGTCTTAAATATATTGTATCGGTTTCTTTATTATTAAAACTAATGTTTAAAATGTTTTAAAATTATCACCAGTATACAAAATATATTATAATGTACATATACAAAATATATGTATTATTATAATATCTAAAATGTTATTAATAATTTTATAAATGTTACTTTCATAATAGTAATAAAATTTTGGTTTCCTTTTAAATTACAAAAAATATGTTCAAATTATTTTGATTTTTAATTGATAACAAATATGTTAAGCAAAAATTATTACTTTGATTAAATTATGATTACTATTATTTTTATAATAACATTATTATTTAATATATAATAACATGTTTATTTTTCTATGCCGACTTCCTTGTTGATATCGGTACCCATACAACGACAGATCTCTATTCACATACACGACGACTAATCACAATCGACTTGTATAGAAATGATATCATCGAGAGCGAATGGCGTACAGTTCGGGCGTAACGCTATTTCCGTTGCATTTGTACGGATTTACACCCTAGTTGCGCCTAAAGAAGTTTTACTTCAAAAACAGTTGATTTTTTTACAAATTGTTGAATCTCATTTCTTATTGTTTATTTACACATATTAGGAAGCACGTGCAACTTGTCTTAAGGCAAAATGCAACTTACACCTAGTTTGATAAAAAAATCAACACAATTCTAACTCGTAAATATAAATATGAATATAAATATAAACATAAATATAAATATAAATATAAATATAAACATAAATATAAACATAAATATAAATATAATAATAGATTTAGATTTAGAATTAGATTTAGAAAAATTTGCATTCAAAGAGTTGCAAATGAAATCAAATACTTTTACTAATCGAGAAGAAAGAATTTTAGATTTAGATTTAAAATTAGATTTAGAAAATTTACATTTAAAGCCAAAGTATTTTATATTAAAGACTTCTACTAATCAAGAAGAAAGAAACGCCTTGTTGATACAATGTGTTTTTTATCCACTTGACTGTTTTTCCCAAGAAACATCATTTAAATCGCTCCATTCGAATCCCAAGAATCGATTCGAATGTATTTCAGTCGATTCGATTCTCCGAAACGATTTTATTATCGGAGATGAAAATATAAAGGATAAATTAAACGGATAATATAATATTATAATGATTTTAACGAGCGAACAGAATAAAAGTTACTTATATGCTGATTTAAACAAATTTATTTAAACAAATTTCAGAATAAATTTGCACTGAATGGAATACTCGAAAAGCTTTGATAAGCATTCCGTATGTTTTTCTTCTGAATAAAAGCTTTCATTTATTAAGTTAGTTCTTGTGATTCCTTTATACGATGCGGATGTTTTATGAAATTGTGTTTTTATTTTTTCAGATTTGATTAAAACTTAATTTTTTTTAAGTTTTATCATGGACAAAATACTGAAGTTTGGGATTGTGTTGGTGGTTTTGTTATTTTTGCTGTTGGATTTGGTGAGTGCTGATTCTACGAAATGTGCAGGAGGACTTGCAGGGACCACTCCTGGTTGTAAGTAGAAATAATAATGTTTTTAAATAAAATTAGATTAATTGGAATTGCAAAAACTTTCACTAATTTTGTGAGATTCGAGACGAAAAAATTTGATATTTATTAAATTAATATATTGTAGTTTTTTTATCATTTATCATGGTCATTCTATGCCTCGGAGTATTTTTATTTATTAATTTTAGTGAATGTACACTTTGGTTTTTAGTGAGAGTTTTGAAAAAAAAGAGTGCGCGTAAGGTTCACACGCGATTGAAGTAAAACTTATTTGCTACTGTACAAGATGGCATTTAAGTAAATATAAATACATCATACAACAATTTTGAATAATGTTTATTAGTATTATGGTAACACTCGCGATGCACATATTTATTAGTGTCAACCATTATGCACATTTATATAATGATAAATTATAAATTATATATTTATAATAGCATTAAAAATATGTATAATATTTGAAAACGATAATGTAATTAAAGTCTTACTTCAAATATGACATGATCGGTTTGTCATTGTAATTAGCATTTATGAAATGAACCTTTATTAAAGAAATGAAGTAATTGCTGATTAATAAATTCTTTAATATTCGTTCACACAGTGGATTATGTTATATTGTTTTCGCAACTTTACTCATCATGTAATAATTTAGTTAAAATTAACATACATTCATTGACTGCTTGTATTTTTTTACTTTTTCGCTGGCGATATAATCTCATTCTTTGAACAGCTGTAATATATGTCTTGCCTAAAAAATATTTTTCGTTTTTATAACTTCAAAGATTTATAGAAACTACGAATAATATAGAAATAATTTCTAATCAATAGACTTACGTTTAGTACACGGCCTAACTGTTTAATTTGTTTTATTATTTTCAAGGAACATGATAAAATATTTGATTTATTATTATTTGATAAAATAAATAAGATTTGTACTACAAAGTTAACTAAAAAATGTTTCTATGACAATTTACTTGTACGCATACAACGACAGATCTCTATTCACATACACGACGACTAATCACAATCGACCCGTATAGAAATGATATCGTCGAGAGCGAATGACGAACAGTTCGGGCGTAACGCTATTTCCGTTGCATTTGTACGGATTTGCACCCTAGTCGCGCCTAAAGAAGTTTTACTTCAAAAATGCATTAAAATGTTTTGGCAAGACTTTTATCAAAAGTTGAAACATTTATTCAAGATTGTAAAATGGTTAATTACTTGATAATTTTATAAGTGAAAATTTTGTAGTAAAAAGTAAAAACCTAAAAAACGACATGATTTTTGCTAGAGCATCTCGTCGTATCAGTTTTAGGTTATTATTTTTACTCGAATTTTTCTATTATAAAAATATCAATTAATTTACCATTTTACAATCCTGATTAAATGCGCCAACTTGTGATGAAACTCCGGCAACATAGTTTAAAATATTTTTTTAAGGTAGGGCCTCTCAAAGTAGACCAAAAGTCTAAATTTTTGAAAATTTGGAGCAATTGTTTCATTATTTTTGACCTAGGGGTCCTAGAAATATTAATACACTCTTCGGTTCCAAATTTTAAATGAACGAAAACAATAAAATTTAAGCACAATGACCAAAAAATAGTAAAAGATTGGCCGATGCTTTAAAAGCTCATAATTTTCAAATTAGATGATTTTTTTGAAATCTGTACTCGGCTGTACTGATATCGACAAGAAAATTTAGATAAATAAACATTTTAAAGTTACATTTTAATACAAATGTTGATTTAATGAAAAATGCCTGAATCAGAAGAATATTTCACCCTGTTCCTTGAAAATAATAAAACAAATTAAACATTTGTGCCGTGTACTAAACGTAAGTCTATTGATTAGAAATTATTTCTATATTATTCGTAGTTTCTGTAAATCTTTGAAGTTATTAAAATGGAAAATATTTTTTAGGCAAGACAGATATTACAACTGTTCAAAGAATAAGATTATATCGCCAGCGAAAATACAATCAGTCAATGAATGTATGTTAATTTTAATTACATGAAGTTCTTCAAACACAATTACATGATGAGTGAAGTTATTTTTTAGGCGTTGTTTAACAAAAATTATACAAAAAAAATCTGAACTTCATTTATACTTGAGGTATTTTGCGTCGCATTTTTTCTATATTGTGCTCTATATTATATATATATTTTTTCTTAAGGACATATTAATTGTTATACATCACTAGAAAGCTAATTTACTATAAATTTATATAAACTTAATTGTAACTTTTAGAACAAAATTTGGCAGAAAAAATCATCAAACTTTGAACTTTATTGAACGGAATTACTAATGTAAAGAATGAAGCATTTTACGGCGCACTTTTCATGTTTTGCTCCATTTCATTGTGTGGACGAATATTATAGAATTTATTAATCAGAAATTAATTACATTATTGTTTTTAAATATTATACATATTTTTAATGCTAATATAAATATATAATTTATAATTTGTCATTATATAAATGTGTATAATGGTCGACACTAATAAACGTGTGCATCACGAGTGTTGCCATATTACTAATAGACATTATTCAAAATTGCTATATGATGTATTTACTTTTACTTAAATGCCATCTTATACAATATCAAATAAGTTTCACTTCAATCGCGTGTGAATCTTACGCGCACACTTTTTTTTAAAAGATGGTCTTGTTAAATTCCACCAAAAAATTTCAATTCATGGTTGAACAAAAAATCTTGATTTTTGAAAACTTGGGATCATTGTATCATTATTTTTGACTGTGGTCTCAGAAATATTAACAAAAATCAACCGCAGTAACCGAAAATTGTCATAATTTTAGCAAAGCTCTAGGTTGCACTTAAAAGCTCACAATCATTATTATAAGTTAGTATTAATTATGAAATTAGTATAGTTCATACTTAGTTAGTATTAACTATAAAATTAGTATAGAGATTTATCTTGGATATACCTTGGACGAAATTGAATTTTCTGATTGTCTAAATAAATACATTTGATTAAAATAATTTAAATAGACATGAATTGTTTGAATTATGCATTGCAGAAAATAAAAGAAATTCAAGAAATATGATGAAAATATTACGACCTGAATAAAAAAATATATAAAAATAATGATAATTCATGATATTCTGAGAATATATATATAAGAACAAGTAAAAACAATTTACACAGAACACAGAACATCTAATACTGATTGTCGTTTAAAAAAACAACTTTAACAAATACTTATTTCTCAGTTTCTAATTTATTATCAATTATTTTTCCCCCAGATACAATTCCATCAGGAGACTTCACCAAACAGTACGGTGAAAGCCTTTCAATAAAATGCGTGATAGACCTGGCGCTGGCGCAAGGTCTAAATTCAAGTCACATAATTTTCGCAAACGGTTCTAAGGATCTTCCTCGAAATCTAACCAGGATAATAGACGAAAGGACAGCCGAACTGTTCATCGAGAAACCTAAACCTCTGAACCAGATGTTCTATTGCAAATTAAAGAACCCGGACACGGGGTCTGATATATCTGTTTGCATGAATTTCGTCACTATAGGAAGTAAGTATAAAGGAAATATATATATTGTTACACCAGAGTTTATATAATTTTTAACTGTATTTATATTTTTAGCACCGCCACAAGATCCTGATGACTTCCATTGCGTTTCTCACAACTGGGACAATTTGTTGTGCGAGTTTCACCCGAAGGAAAATTATATACAAACGAATTACAGTTTGCAGTTTTATTTGCCGACGACCAAAAACAAGTAAGGAATTATAATATATATATATATATATATATATATATATTTAATTTTAGTTAAAAAGTCTTAATTTGAGTTAAAAAGTCGAGCGTTACATCAATAAAAATAGTATGGGAGATTTTAGAAATTTATTTAAAATCCATACGTTTCGGCTAGCATCTTAGCCTTCATTCAGTGGCAATCAATATAACTATAAAAATTAAAACTAAATAAGCAATATGTAAAAAATTTCATAGAAAAACAATAATAATAATAATAATAAAACATTTACAGTTTTGTATCCTAATATAACATATAAAAACATTATTAATCGATGGTATGAGTATGTGCACATTGATAAAATATATATTTTTTAACATCACAGATGGTAAAACACACAAATAAACATGATAACTTAACAACTTGTCGAAACTATGTATTTACTGTTCGGAGTTTAAGATAGAAATGTCACATTTTTTCTTAAAGCAGTTTTTAGTATGTGTTCAAATTTTACGAGAAATTTAAAAAGCGATGGGATCTTGTCATTTTTTAAGAAATTTTGACACGCTATTAAGGAACCACGTGTTTGTTTCGTTCAGGGCCGTATTGTCAAAACGTTTGTTTATGACTTTGTCGTCATGCAATTGTAAAAACAACCCCTCAGCGAATCTTCTTTTAATTACGTTCTTTTCAAAATGTGAAAATTTTGGGTTGAAAAAATCTATTTTATGGTTTAAATTAATAATATGTTCGGTTAGCATCGTCTTAAATTGTTCGGGATTTTTTGAGTTATTTTTACAAACCAAACCAAATAAGTTTTTTACGAAATAATAGATTATATTAATTTCAAAGGGGTTGTACGAAATTATATCTACATTATACAACTAATGCAAAATATAAATTTTATGTGTATATTTTTTACAGAGATAACACTGTATATAACGTTGATCTAGTATAACAATTTATTTAAGTCATATCTTGCAAAAGTGGTTTGTTTAACTTAATTTACCTTTTTTTTATTATTAACGTAGGATAAGTTCTAGTAATCGCGAAAAAATGCAAAATGCAAATTTTTATATATTTTTACGCTTCAGAGGTTTTTGAACATTTTGGCATACCTCAGAAAAAATTGATGTATGCGGATACAAATTTTCGGTGACGATTTCGCGAACATGGTTCAACCGATTTGAATAATGTAAAAAACATTCGATTCCTATATATATATATATATATATATATATATGTTAAAGTTGTTAATTAGTAGATAATATATATATATATATATATATATATATATATATATGTGTGTGTGTATATATATAAGGAGACGTGCTGATTAGTTTTTAGCAAAGGCAGGTCTAGCCGTTTCAGAGATTTCGGTAAAAAGCAATGCCATTTGGCGGTCGAAAATGAACGTTAGACATATGTGCATCGTATTATCAGATATTTTATAAAGATTTTAATATTAAGTACAAATTTTGTGTACATCCGTAACAATGTTTCCAATTAGACGACTACGCGGCGCTTACGCGCTTTGATATTTCGACACCAAATCAGCCAAGCCTAAGAAAAAATGCTGATATTTTAAAAAAAAAATCAAAATATAAAAATATTTCTTTCAGTCTTTTTTTCCAAAAATTTCAAAATTTCTCAAAAATCTATTTTTTCTTTCAAAGTTTAGCAAATGGCTAGGATTCAGATTGCTCGTCAGTAGAGTCCTTTTATAAATTTCATGTTCAGGATACAGTTTGCTCGTCGTCCTTTAGTCAGTAGAGTTAGTCAGTAGAGTCCTTTTTATATATTTCATGTCTTGGATTATTCAGTTTGCTCGGCTAGGATTGAGCTTTTTTTTAATAACTTAGTTTTTGGTACGGAAAGTTCCAGCAATTTACTTTAATGCACCACTAGCTTTTTTATTGTTTACACCTTCGACATGGTAAAGGTTCAATTGGTCCTTTTGTTAATTTTTATAGGGGTTATATATAAAAAAAAACTTGGATTTAATTTAAAAATAACAATACATCTTATAAAACATTCAAATAACTTAGGTTTCGGTAAACTAAACAACCGTGCTCACCAAGAAAAAATTAACAACGAAAGACAATATTAATAATTTGTTATGGATTTTCAAACATTGTCGTTCATCTCCTGATAAATAACGAGTGATAGCTGGTTATACATATTTTGCCCTCTACTTTCAAATATTGTAGTTGAAAAAGTTCCTAACTTTACTTGTTTTTGAGATATCGGCAGCAGTCCTTTTTACCTGTTCTTCATTTTTTTTTTACATTTTTTCTAATTACGTAATTCCTGTTTTTTTTTTTAAAGCATTTATATTTACTTTTATTCAATAATTTTTTTTTTTTCACTAACTTAAAAATAACAATACACCTTATAAAACAATAGAATAACGTAGGTTAAAAAAATATATTAAGGTCTCGGTAAACTAAACAACAGTGCTCACGACCAAAAAAAGAAACTAGCAACGAAACAAAATATGTACTTTTGTTGTGGATTTTCAAACATTGACGTTCACCTCCTGATAAATAACCAGTGATAGCTGGTTATACATCTTTTGCCCTCTACTTTCAAATATTGTTGTTAAAAAATCCCTAACTTCACAAAAAATAACAATGAAAGAAAATACTTTTGTTATGGATTTTCAAACATTGCCATATCATCTTCTGATAAATAACGAGTGATAGCTGGTTATACATCTTTTGCCCTCTACTTTCCTGATAAATAACGAGTGATAGCTGGGTATACATCTTTTGCCCTCAACTTTCAAATATTTTTGTTGAAAATATTTTAACCTTACTTGTTTTTGAGATATCGGTAGAGAACTTTTTACCTGTTCCTTTTTTTTACATTTTTTCTAATTACGTAATCCTTTGTTTTTTTAGGATACGATCAAATTGCACAAACATGCAAGACAACGAGGACAGAAAAACCAAGTCCTGTTTTTGGGATCTAGGAACTCGTTTCCAATATCGACAGCAATATGAATATTATACTTTTATCCTGACGATGAGCAATAAATTCGGCAGGAATAAATACGAGTATAATTTCTCTCATTATGAAAATGGTAAGTGGAAGATCTAAATATCTAAATGTATCAATATCTAGTTTGTTGTTTATATTTTTATTCTTTTATCAGTTATACCAGCCAAGGCAAGTTTTTTGGAGATCAGAGACAAAAAAGAGCACAGTGCCCTGGTTGTTTGGAACGTGACGAGACCTTTGAATACTTTTCCAAAAGGACTGCATCATATGATAAAATACACTTCTCAATACGAAAATAGCACCACACAGTGGAAGGTAATAAATATGCACACATTTATTAGTGTCAAACATTATACACATTTATATATAGATAAATTATATATTATATATTTATAATAGCATTGAAAATATGTATAATATTTAAAAACAACAATGTAATTAAAGTCATATTTCAAATATGACATGATCGGTTTGTCATTGTAATTAGCATTTAGGACTTGAATCTTCATTAGAGAAATAAAGTAATTGCTGAGTAATAAATACTGAAATATGTTAAACAACGCCTGAACAAATATTGTTTTTGCAACTTCACTCATCATGTAATTGTGTTTGAAGAACTTCATGTATTTAAAATTAACACACATTCATTGACTGCTTGTATTTTTTTACTTTTTAGCTGGCGATATTCAATTTGCACGTCAGTAGAGTCCTTTTTTAAATCTTATATATAAAAATCAAGTTCAATTTCCTCCTCTGTAAAGTCCTTTTTTATAACCTTGCTCGTCAGTAGAATCCGCTTTTCAAGAAATTAAATATTAATAATTTTGCTCGACAGTAGAGTTCCTTTTTTTAATTAATAATTTTGCTCGTTAGTAGAGTTTCTTTTTTGTCTTTTAGATCAATTTTGTACATTTCTATCAAGTTATTTGATCACTTGTCAGTAGAGTCTCTTTTCTATTATGTTGTTTATTCATTATTCATTTGTCAGTAGAGTCCCCTTTTTGTCTTTTTTGTCAAATTTTGGTTTGCTCGACAGTAGAATCTTTTTTTATATTTACGAGTTTCAAATTTGGTCGCCAGTTAAGTCCAATTTCAAATATTTTAAATTAAAATTGAGTTTGCTCGTCAGTAGAGTTCTTTTTTAGAAACATTTTTTATTCATATTTTGTTTATCAGTAGAGTCCCTTTCTTCTCTTCTAGATTGAAATTAAAGTTTGCTGGTCAGTAGAGTCCCTTTCATAAAACATTTTTCATTAATATTTTTGCTTATCAGTACAGTCCCTTTTAGTATCTAAATTAAGTTTGCTTACCAGTAGAGTCCTTTTTCTTCTTCTAAGTTGAAATTAAACTTTGCTTTTTTAGTTTGCCTGTCAGTAGAGTCCTTTTTCAAAACTTTGTTGGCTTGTCAGTAGAATCCCTTTCGAACTTTAAGATAAAATTTATGATTATATTTTAACTATTCGATTTTTTATTTGCTCGTCAGTAAAGTCCTTTTAATCTTTTAGATCAAAAACTAAAGTTTCCTCGTCAGTAGAGTCCTTTTTATATGTTTCCTTTCTATATCTTTTACATCTATACAAGTTAGTGGAGATCTCTTTCAGTTTTTATATTTACTAATTTTAAATTTAGTCATCAGTAGAGTCCCTTTTATCAACTAAGTTGTAATTAAAGTTTGCTTGTCAGTAGAGTAGAGGATTAAAATTATGTTTGTTTGTCAGTAGAGTCCTTTTATTTTTTCTGTCGTTTGATAATTCTTTGAACAGCTTTAGAATCTGTCTTGTCTATAAAAACATTATCTATTTTAATATAGAAATAATTTCTAATCAATGCACTTACGTTTAGTACACGGTACAAATGTTTAATTTGTTTTACTATTTCAAGGAACAGGGTAAAATATCTTTTTGATTCGGGCATTTTTTATTAAATCAAGATTAGTACTACGATGCAACTTTAAAATGATTATTTATCATACAACGACAGATCTCTATTCACATACACGACTACTAATCACAATCGACCCCTATAGAAATGATTTCATCGAGAGCGAATGACTTTCACTTGACCTTGCCGTAACAATTTTCGTTGCATTTGTACGGATTCACACCCTAGTCGCGCCTAACGAAATTTTACTTCAAAATATATTTTAAATATTTTATCTTTTATCCCAGGTTGCTGATACGTCTTCGATCCCAATAAAATCCGAACTCCAATACCAAGTTCGAATTGAAAGACCTTAAAATACGCCTACACATTGTACGAAGTACGAGTCCAAATAAAATCTGCAGTAGCTCCAAATGAAACCAGCAAATGGTCCGAGTACAGATCAGTGTTCTTCAAAACTTTACCAGAAAGTAAGTACATAGTTGGATAAAATAAATTTGTTGTGACCAGATTGGTGATTGGTTTGTTTGTTTTTTTTTTTTAGAGCCTTCTAGGCCGCCAAATACAGTCATAAGCAGTTACGAAGTGGTCAACAAGATTGGAATGAGGGATGTCATTATTTATTGGCAGACTTTGGAGGAGTATGAGAAGAATGGAAGGGACTTCAAGTATAGTGTGCAGATTAGCGAAAATGGACGAATGCTGTAAGTAAATCTTATATATTGATCATTCTTTTACAAACCGTACACCATCCAGACCTCGCCATTTTAAAATTGTCTGAGTTTTTTTTACAGATATTATGCATAAAATCATTTGACACGTATTTCAGGATTTGCAGATTTTTTTTTACGTAAATATTTACGATTGAAATATGAATTTTTTGCTCAATTTTGGGTTAAATTAATTATCTTCAGTTGTGCTGATCGGATCATATTATTATTTTTTATTACACTCATGTTGAAGTGAAGTTTGTAATGATTTTTAAAAAAATTACTAGATATGGGTCAGTTATCACTCCGAAGTGAAACCGAGCGGAGATTTTGTAATATCCGACTTTCCGAAATAGTACTAAATCTTTTAACACGTACAGACATTTGCTTGAGATTTTTTACTAATACAAAGATTTGTGTCGAAAAAAGTGGTCTTTTTTTTCGTCTCACAGCCAGTTTTAGGACTTTCCAGGTATATAATGTCTCAAAATAATGCTATTTTGTATTCTATATTCTGTATCCGGTAATGTTTGTCCGTAAATGGGCTCTTTCAATGGTATACAACCAGCTAAAAAATATTTAGTATTATATTATAACATTTACGCAATTATGATTTTATAATTGTGTAAAAGTAATAGTATGCTAATCAAACTACCTGATGTATAATTAATTCTCGAAAAGGAAATAATAAAAGAATGTGAGGTATTATTATTTGTGAAAAATATTAAACACAAGGATTTACTCTTATTTCATATATAAGGTTCACAGCATTATTTTCATATAAATATAAAAATAATCAAGAAATCTATTTTTTTCTCTTCAAAAATAATTATGAAATTGATTTTGATTCTAAAGTTTTAGTTAGGTATTCGATGCAAATTGGGAAACATTATTTAGAACATATTGGTAATTTTTGCATGTTCTGTTATCACCGTTTGTCCGCTCAATTTTTATGACGAAAAGGTTCTTCATTATGAGTCGAAAGTCTCACAAAGACGCTTTGCGGAATCTTCTTTTATTGTTCTGGACAAACGTAGTATTAATAAACGAACTGATACCATTTATTTTATTTTATATATCATTTATTTTTTTAATTATTTAATTAATCATACATTTCAACATCTTTAAATCATTGGTTTCATCATTTCAGGCCCAGGCTACCCGACAGAATCCAAAAACAACTATGCAAACTTCACAATTTGGACCTGGACAAAGAATACGAATTTTCATTGACTTCGGTTAACGAAAAAGGAAAATCTGATAACAGTTCCTTGATCCACGTGCCGAGATCAGATAGAAGTGAGTAAAAAAAAGTATAATAATGATCTAGTTAATTTATTTTAGTTTTATTTATAATACAAAACCACTTGGAAAACAATTTATATAAGGTTTTTGTTTGTATGGCGAAGAAATGCTTTAGGCATACCAGACTAGTTTTTGTCTGGATATGTTGGACTCAATAAACAATACTAACTTAAGCTTTTGCTTAT